GGCGGGCTCCTGTCGTAGTGTAGCGAGGATCGTGAACTCCGGCGAGCGGCGGAGCAGCTCCGCGGCTCGCTCGAACGCCGCTCCCTCTACCGGCAACGACCGCGAATCACCTGTAAACATTTATTATTAAAATTATTAAATATCAATTTACGAAAATAGGTAACAGTGAGCGGAATTCAAGATGTGCGTTCTTTGTTGCAATTCACGTGGACAAACGTAAACAACGTTACCAGTGGACTCTCGTCTGAAATGAATACTTTGTTACTTAAATTACTTGAATGCAGGAAGAAAGACGGTCTAAAGTCTACCTTGCAATAATTTGAATTACATACCTCCGAATTTAGTTTTAAATACGTCACTTCTCATAACTTGTTTGTATTAGTTACATGAAAAATTTGTATAGTTTTTGATAGTTTCTAGTATGTAAGTTTTTTTTTAAATATTTTAACTAATTATTACAGACTTGTATTAATTTTGTTGGCACGACGCCCGGTTCGGTTAAAACGGCCCACAGCACATTACGGTAGCTTGAATATCATGATTTTTATCGAGATTTATAGCACTGCAGCCAAGAAAGGTTGGAAATGTCGTGATCCGTTAAAACGCTTTAATTGGATAAACCTCGAATTAAGTTATCACCTATTATAAATTTCATACACTTATCAAGTTTTCCTTCTGTGGTTAATATTACCATTTGGACTAGGTTTCCATAGTGTTATAAGCTTTAATATTATTTATACTGAAGATGTAAGTTAAATAAAAAATATTCTCTGAGGTTTTTAAACTATAGTATTATGGAAAATGTTATATTATTTTATGTAAAAAATAAAATAATTGTAAATAGGCTATATATTTTATTTTATGTTTAGAAAAAGTGTTATTTAATTTCGCGCAGACAAAGTCGCGGGCATAAGTTACTATCTAATGTTTAATTAGACAGTTATCGTTCAAATGGATATAGGATGACAACAAGAGTACGAATTCGCTTAGAAGATAATCCAAAACATCAAAGGTTCTATGAAATATTTATTACGGTGAGATTTAAATCTATGGGTAGGGCGAGGGATGACGAAATAATATCGCACATGACGTGATAGCCTCCCGCGGCGAGGGTAACTTGTGTGCAGGGAAGGGACAACGAACAGCCGCTCCCTGCCGATTTTTAATATTGTTTCAACATAAACGGATTTATACACTTCATATATGAATCACTAACCTCACATATTCGAATTCCTAAGTATAAGACAATAATTGTAATCACAAATAATAGTTTAAGCATAAGTTCAGATGTAATTTAATAAATTAATATAGACTTCTCAATAAAAGACAAACAATGATAGGAAAAAGTCACTTTATCTCATTATTTTACGAAACCAGGAGATGAGAAGTATGCGGATCGATATCTAATTTAGATGTGTCACTTCACAAATGAATTGAAAAAGGAGAAATAACAGAAATAAGCAAAATTACACGTTTCCAGACGGAGATGGGCGCCCGGTAGGCGGACACGTTTTGCTTTTCTGCCTACAGTTACGAAACTTCTCAAAGGTGGTCTGGGTATTTCCACAAACGTTTATTACAAATACGATTGTGTTAAGAATAGAAAAATAAATCATACCTTTTATATAGTCTCATTCGATAGTATTGAAAAAGCATTCAAAACATCAAATGATATGGAATGAAATCCAATATGAAAAGCGTTATTAAATTATAATGCATGAATTTATTTGATATTTATTTTAAAGAAAACATCGAGTTTCTCACTGAATTCAAGCTCACGAATAATATTGTAGAAATTGAATTATTCAAACTTTCAATATTGCTCAACTGTAATATCTTCGAGTGTTCGAGTCTGAATGAATTTTCAATTACACTGCAATAGTTCTAGCATCCCCGTCAGCCGGTTGTTGACCCCGCACACTTCGTCTTTCTCACACTCCTGAGACGAGAATGAAACAAGTCGAGTGTTTTGAAAATAAATAAGCTTAGTTTACGTAAACAATGTCTTTCAATTTATTTAATGTGTGACTTGAAAAATACAGTCGAAATAAACTCAACGAACTTTTTCCTCCTGTCGAGAGAATGTAACTTGTTTTATTAAATTTTAAAGTGATTTT